TGCGTTGGCAGCGACGGATAGTAGAAGATTGGGAACATCGAGTAGTCGTGGCATGGATCGAGATGATCGATTTGCTGTTGCGGCTGGGGGAGGAGCAGGAGGAGGAGGGTCGTCGTCTTGGTACGGAAGCAGCGGTACCGAGGCAGGCAGCAGACGTTTCAATAACTCAGATTTCAATAGACGAAAAAATTCGAGCAGTGCTAACAATAGTCCATTGTATTATCATCAGCAACCACAACAACAGCAAAAATCACAAATGGACTGGAGTGCGACTGGCGGTAGTGGTGGTTCTGGTGGTGTGGGTTCGACTGATACATCTGCTGCATCAGCGTTGAACCAACGAGGTGGTGGTGGCAGCTATGGTTTGACCGGGATTGCTGCTGGCACTCCAGGAACAGGTAGTGGAACGGTATTGGGCGCTGGTAACGCGAATTCGTCGTATGCTGGTTTAAGACAACGCTCACATTCACCGTCATCGAGACAACCTCAGACACAGTTCTATCATCATCAGAGACAACAACAGCAGCCGTCATCTGGAGGGAATAGGTAAATTGGAATGAATTTCAGAGACATGGCGACATAAATTAGTGAATAGTTGATGAATGAAGGCTGATGTTTTCGCCGTGACCGGTCAATCTGCCTAAAGACATGTAGCCTAACGACAGTTTGCCAGAATTACAGCTTTTTAATGGATATTTCGCCCAATAAGCAAACTGTTCCTTAGGCAAACTGTCGGTTAGACAATGTGTCTTTAGGCAAATTGCCGTTAGGCTAAACGTCTTTAGGCAGATTGACCGGGTACCGTTTTTCACAGAGCTGAGGTGTTGTATTTTTGGAAAACTTGAGAGTGTATTCGAATTTAGTAAGGACTGTTTCTTCGGATAGAGGTAGTGGAATAGATTAGAGACAGATTATTGGATGAGTTTATTGAGCAGACACAAATTGAGGTTGATCTTTAGAATTGTTCGTTTTTGGCTATAACAATTCTAAGCAATTCATGTGCAGTCTGCGATCGTTTCTCAGTACGTATCCTGAGTGGTAGTAGAAGTTGAGTGCTGTGGTATTCTCGCATATAGAGATGATGGCGATATTACCTGGATNNNCAACCGAACACAACCGAGTAAATAATTAGTCGCCGTGAATACTTTGCATAATTAAACGCAGTCAAATACCAATTCAATAAATAATCATAACTCTAATAAAATAAATATTCCGCCGATTTCTCACTGCGATTGACGAAAAAACCACTCGATGTCCAAGTAATAATTATTAAGTGTCCAAGTGATATGCTTTCAGATACACATCAGAAACACGTCACGATTTTTATGGTGGCAGCAACAATACAAATCAACGACAGGGTAGTAGCAGTAGCAGTGGAGCTGGAGGAGCTGGTGGTGGGTATCGTGATTATGGTGGTAGCGGAGGGCTGGATCATCCGTCGATGTCGTATCACGACCGTCGAGAGCAGTGTTCAAGCGGAGGAGATTATCGCAATCGCCATGATCGTAACGCTTATCGTAGTCGAAGTCGTAATGATGATAGCTCGTATCGGGATCGATCAACTGGAAACTATCAAAGAGGTTCGTTCGCAGTTTTTAGTTGTTTGTCTCTTTTCATCTATTTTGGTATATCTTCAGATCAGATTATTTGGAGCATTGGATTGGTTGCAATAGGTTTTTAGAGTGGATCACTTTATTGTAGCACGTATTGATAGGAGAGAAAAGTTGTAAAACAGTTGATATTTTAAAAGTTTTAAACATTCTATGAAATGTTTGTGAATTGAATATTCATTTATTCATTTGCAATTGTAGATGATCGTGGTAGCTATCGTAGTAATCGCGATGGTGATCGAACTAGCGGTAATAATCAGTCATCGTATCG